GGGTCGCTTTTGTTCACCCACCCACAGAAACTTGGCAAAGCCAATGTGTGTTTTGGATATTCAGTGGCTGTTACTCATGGAAACCCTGAATCCACGTGAACACTCTTTCCAAAGCCAGATGGAGTTTCCATTCAGAAAAATCTTGGCACCAGTTTCATCAGAACAATCACCAGTTCCAGGCAGGACCTGGGAAGGCTCAGTGAAATTGGGGGCTGGCACTGGGGGGGGGGTGTCAGGGGCCCTCCAGCAGCGGGGAGGAGGGCCTTGGCTGGCATTTCTCTGCCCGCAGGATCTGTGGCCCTCTGTGTCTAATCCCTGGGTCTCAGAGAGCGGCAGTAATCTCCTCTAAAGCAACCCTCCCTTGAAAAGGATTGCCTGGTTAAAATACAGGCGGCCCCACCCCAGACAGTTCGGTAGCCAGTAATAGAAAGTTGCTAAACCCAGCTCAGACAGAAAGGGAAGGATCCAAAAGCATCTCCCAGAGCCTAGGGGTGGACGGTGCAGCTAGGTCTCAGCGTCACAAAAGTCTACAACCAAGAACCAGAATGAAACATGGAGCGAGGCAGCTGCTCTCCCCCCTCCCCTGCTCCATCACTCCCCTCTCGGGCGCATGGACTCTCACTTCTCTGAATATCCCACCACCCCACCTCATTCCCCCTTTCTCTCTAACTTTCTCCATATTTTTTTTGTTCCTCAAGCAACTGGATGGTGTCTCCAGTCTCAAAATCCAAGAAAGAATCTGATGTGCAAGAAAGAAGCCAACCTCCAATCTAAACAAACTGAGAGGTAGTCATCCATGTGGACACCACACAATGCCCCACTCCCCCCCAGGACGCATTGCACCAGGGGTGGACAACGCCCATGGGCGCTCTGGAAAGAGTTAGCTTTTGTTACTTTCTTTTTATTTATTATTTATTTATTTATTTATTTATAATTTATTTTCAACTACAATTGACATACGATATTATATTATATTTCAGATGTACAACATAGTGGTTAGACATTTGTGTACCTTACCAGGTGATCACCCTGGTGAGTCTAGTACCCACCCAATACCACACGTAGTTATTACTAGTATATCGACTGCTAGAGGCCCGGTGCACGACATTCGTGCACTGTTGGGGAGGAGGGGCGTCCCTCAGTCCACCTGTGCTCTTTCACAGTCTGGGAGCCCACAGAGAGCGGGCCTGAGCTGCAGTCAGACATCCTTAGTGCTGCTGCGGAGGCAGAAGAGGATCCTGCACCCCATCACTGCGCTCACCATAGGTCAGCCTGGCTCGTGGCTGAGCGGCACTCCCCCTGTGGGAACACACTGACCACCAGGGGGCAGCTTCTGCGTTGAGCATCTGCCCCTTGGTGGTCAGTGTGGGACATACAGACCCTTTGTTCTGCCATTTGGTAGATTTGCATATTACCCTTTTGTTATACAGGATATTCCCTATGCTGTAATTTACATCCCTGTGACTATTTTTATAACTGGCAATTTGTACTTCCTCACCCATTTGTTGTTGTTGTTTTCCTTTAGTGCCAGTTTTTCTCTGTCCTTTCCTCCATCTTACTCTCTGGCATTGTCTGCTTACCTCTGTTATAGATAGATAGATAGATAGATAGATAGATAGATAGATAGATAGATAGACATTACATTCCTTGAGGGCCAGGATCCCCGCCTCTGGCAGGCCCCTCATTCATTCAGCATCTCCTCATTGAATGCTAATGTTTTGCAAGCCCCGGCTGGACTGGAGCTGGTTGCAGAGACAAGTATCCACATCCCATGCTGTCTCACATGGCTCGTACTCTCGCAGGGAACACAGCTATCAAATAGCTATGCAGATGTGTTACTATCTCTCAACCATCTCTTCACCTTTTTCCCAAGTTAGGTCAAGTTCAGTCGATTTAAGATGAAAAGGAAAGAAAAAGAGAGAAATGTATAAGCAATCCTCCCCTGGTCTAATTAATTATTCTGAATGGTTAAAATGTAAAAATAAAATAAAATAAAATAAAAATCAGTGCGTAATAGTCACCTATCCTGACTGAGTGCCCAGAAGTTCTGGGTTTCTGAGGTCCCCTTGTTTGTGTACTGTTCCCTCCCCTGGGAAAGGAACAGATAAGCCTTATCTGCTGCCCAGAGCCATTAACTGGCTCCAGCTTCCATCCACCCAGGAGGAGAGCTCCCACCCATTCAAGCAGACAGAGGGCCTTTCATGGAGAGAAATGCCCTCCACCTGAGCCGGTGTGGGCCTCCCACTCCTCCCTCCCACCTCACAGCGATGGAGGCCACCACTGGGCCTTTGGGGCAAGAGCCTTTCTGTCAAGAACAGACCTGAGGAAAGTCTTGTTTGTCCATAAGAGGTTTTTTGTTTTGTTTTGTGAGTGGGGGGTGGGGAGCTTGCCTTTTGCACTTCGTGTTGTTTTGTTTCAATGTTTTCACAGACTATTTTAAATATACCGGAAACAATGCAAAAGACACACCCATAAACCCACATGTAATTACTCAACTGTGATGATTAAACAGATGTGACTATTTGGACACTTTTGCTACAGAACTCCTCCACACTGTGTACACAGTCTCTCTTAAAGAGAAATAAAATGTTATAAATGCAACTGAGGATGGTCCCCATCTTTTTCCCTGCTTTCCACCTCAGAGGCAGCCTGAACATTTCTGGATTTTTTTTTTTTTAACTATATTTGTGCTATCCATAAACAATATGTACTATTGTTTTGTGTTTTCAAAATATGCACCAATAGCATTTGGACATATCACTTTGCAAATTGCCTTTTCCACTCCACATTATGTTTCTTTGAGAGCTATCCATGTTGTTGCCTAGGAATATTGTCCATTACTTTATTTTATTTTATTTTTTAAATATATTTTATTGATTTTGTACAAAGAGGAATGGAGAGTGATAGAGAGTTAGAAACATCGATGGGAGAGAGTCATCAATCAGCTGCCTCTTGCACAGCCCCTACTGGGGATATGCCTGAAACCAAGGTACCTGCCCTTTGACTGGAATCGAACCTGGGACCTTTCAGTCCCCAAGCCGACGCTCTATCCATTGAGCCAAACCGGTCTCGGCGGAATATTGTCCATTACTTTAACTGCTGTATCCTATTGTCTGTAGAAATCCAGTTTATCCATTTTCCTGCTTCAGTAAACATCTTTATACTCAGCACCTCCCAGCCAGGTGTATAGCAGAGGAGTTTGACAGTAAAGGGTGAAGGCCCTGGCGCCAGATTCCTAGGTTCAAATCCCAGTTCAATCGCTTACCAGCTGTGTGGCCTTAGGAAAGTGCCCTTGTTTGTAAAATGGGAATAGAAATAGTACTACCAACCTCAGAGGTTAAGAATTAGATGAGCTGTGCCTGTGCTTGGCACATAGTGAGTGCTCAGTAATGGCGCTGCTGTATTTATTACTAGATTAACTGCTGTATCTCAGGGACCAAGCGTGTATAATGGCTCTGGTGACACAAAAGGGAGCAGGTCTGGTGACAGAAAAGGGAGCAAGCTCCTGGTTCCTGGGGGTGGGGATAGAGGGAGCAGGGGAGATGGGCCAGTGACCAGGTAGATCGTGGCAAGGCAGGGCTGCAATGGGGAAGCACTTGGTTCTTGAGCAATGTCCAGATGGAAAGAGTAATAGGAAGAAATAAGAGGAGGTTTGACACATAAAACACTTGTTTATTTAAAAAAGAAAAGTGTGGCTGAAACCGGTTTGGCTCAGTGGTAGAGCATCGGTCTGCGGACTGAAAGGTCCCAGGTTCGATTCCAGTCAAGGGCATGTACATTGGTTGTGGGCACATCCCCGGTAGGGGGTGTGCAAGAGGCAGCTGGTCAATGTTTCTCTCTCATCGACATTTCTAGCTTTCTATCTCTCTCCCTTCCTCTCTGTAAAAAATCAATAAAATATATATTTTTAAAAAAAGAAAGAAAAAAAGAAAAGTGTGAGTAATCCCTGTTCTAGGCACTCATGTAATTTTAAAAAAGAAAAAAGAAAAAACGTGATTGCCACTTGTCCTAGGTCCTGGGGAGACTGCTTGCTGTGAATAAGTCAGTTCTGTTCCCATGATGACAGTGAACCACACCACCCACAGCGGCCGCACAATTCCCACACGCATCATGCTTGTTAACCATGTAAGTTAACACTTACAGCTGTAACCTCCATCTTTCATTGGCGCGCACCAGAGCGCAGACAGACTGGTACCTTGGCCAGAGAGAGGTCTTAGGGAGCAGAGCTGGGGTTCACGGAGCAGCCTGGCTGCGGCTGACTGATATTAACCACTGTGCCATCCGCTGCAACAGGCCTGCGAACACTCTCCTAACGTATCCCCGGAGCTACCGGTGGGCTTTCTTGGCTGGAGTAGGGGATCAACCAGGGCAGACTGATAAAAGCCCGCCTTTGATGGGCCTTGAACGCCAAGCTGAGGGGCTACGATTTCATCCTGCAGGGCTACATGCTGAGTGGAGGAGGATGGCTTGGAGGGGAGGGCCAGGTGGGACACAGGAACAACCTCTTCCCCGTGGTGCCCCCTTCAGGACGCTGTTTTGCAAGAATCAAGCCGGAGCTGAAACCGATTTGGCTCAGTGGATGGAGCGTCGGCCTGCGGACTGAGAGGTCCCAGGTTCGATTCCGGTCCAGGACATGTACCTTGGTGGCGGGCACATCTCTATTAAGGGCTGTGCAGGAGGCAACTGGTCGATGATTCTCATCGATGTTTCTAACTCCCTATCCCTCTTTCTTCTTCTCTGTAAATAATCAAATTATATATATAAAATAAAAAGAATCAAGCCAGAGATGACAATGGCCTGGGATGCCCCGGGCCTCTGGGATTCAGGGAAGGCGATGGCTTCCTATGGCTTGGACCATGGAGGTAGAGGAGGCAGAGGAGGCGGCCAGGGGCGGGGAGAAGTGGCCAGCGCCTCGCTGGCCAATGGCGACGCGCGGGGCGCGGCCCCTCCCCGGGGGCGGGGCCTGGCGGGCGGGCGGGGCGCGGGGCTCCCCGGTACCAGCGCTGCGGCATCCCCAGCGCTCCAGCCCCCGGCCCGCCCCCCGCGCCGCTCCCGCTCCCGCAGCCCCGCGGCGGCCTCGGCGAGGCCCGGCAGGTCCAATCCCGGGCACAGCTCCGTCCAGTCGGGTGGGTGCGGGGCAGCGGCGGGGATGGGGATGGGGATGGGGATGGGGATGTCTTTGCTTGGCTTGCCTAGGTGGGAGAGGGGCCGGGCGCTGGTCTCGGGTTCGACCCAGAAGGGAGTTGCGCTATTGCCACCTACATGGGACTGGGGTAGTAAGGTTGCGGTGTCCGCAGTAGAGCTGCGCGCTCTGACTTGATCCGGAGAGGGCAGGGCTCGAGCCCGATGAACCCAGGAGCTGGGGGGAAGGGGGGTGAGCTGGGGGCTGTTAGCCTGGGGCCGCGGGTTCTGATGCTCGGGGAGGAGGCCGAGCGCAGCCTGTGCGTGAGCATGGAGGTGGGAACACGGAGGGGATCGGCGCGCTGGGGCGTTGGGGCGCTGGGGCGCAGGGCTGGATGCGAGGTTTGCGTCTGGTTCCGAGGGAGCTGCGTCCCGGGGAGACTCGGTTTCGTTCCTTGGGGGGTGGGGGGGGAGGGTGAAGGGGGCGGGGAACAGAAGCCCCGGGGCGGGCCGGGACGCAGAGCCGGGGGCTGCGGGGCGGGGCGGGGAGGCTGGCGAGGGGTGGGCGCGCTCTGACAGCGGTTCCTTGACGCACAGGCGGGCGCCGGGCGCAGAGCGGAGATGGGGCGGCCCTGGGGCACCCTGCTGTGCCTGCTGCTGCTGGCAGCGATCCCCGCAGCCCCCTTGCCGGCTCCGACTGCGACTTCGGCTCCCGATGAGCCTGGCCCGGCTCTCAGCTACCCGCAGGAGGAGGCCACCCTCAACGAGATGTTCCGCGAGGTGGAGGAGCTGATGGAGGACACGCAGCACAAACTGCGCAGCGCGGTGGAGGAGGTGGGTGCGCCCCGGGGCCCTGGGAAGCTCAAGGCTCGGGACTGGGGAGACTGGGTGGCGGGAGGAAGCAGGCTCGGAGAGCTAGCTGGGGTCCTCGGGTCCGCCGAGGGGCTGGGAAGGGCCGGCGGCAGATTCGGTGTAATCTGGAGGCAGCCCAGGGTGATCCCAACTCCCACCTTGTCCGCCTTTCTGTCAGAAGATCGGAATCTGAGCCTGTGCCAGGGAGCCTCCGGCTGGACCCACCCACCTGTCGGTGGGCTGCCCCTCTCCCTGTTGTAACCGGGAGCTTGCCAGGCCCCTGGTATTCCAGCGTCGTCGCGCTTTTGCTGAGGCCAAGGAAGCTGCAGGCAGCTCAGGTTCTGGCTTGTCCATTGGCTTTGAGCTTGTGAGACACAGCGAGGGTGTCTTGTGGGGACCCAGAGCCTGAGCTTTGCTAGTCGCCTGTCTGGGCTTCCCCCAATGCCATGGGGTCAGAGAAGGGGAATGGAATCCTGAGCCCAGCAGTGCGACTTACCAGAGGGTGGTAGGAGGAGGAGGAGAGGGAATGGGAGAAGTAACTCCCCTCCCTCCCTCCCTCCTCCCAAGCGTGTTTTGGAGTCAGTCCTGGGCTCCAGGTCCTCTCCTGCCTCTCACGAGCAGGGTGACATTGGACAAATCCCTTAATATTCTGTACCTCAGTGTCCTGTGATAATTAAATGCCAGGACCTGTGTGGGCACCTGACATATAACATGTAGCAGTAGTTAGTGTCAGATATCAAGTACCTAGGCAAAACTGCCTGGCTTCTTCCTTCTGTCCCCTCCCAGGTCCAGACACTATGGATGGCATCCTCTGTGGTGGGGACACAGTATTGCCAGGGCTGCCAGGCCAGGAGGTGCAGCTGGTCCAACTGTCCCCGCACAGGTGTGGGGAGCGATCCCTGGTTCCTGGGGTGGGTGGCACAGTCACTGCTGTCCGGCCCAGCTCTGGCTGCGGTCTGTCCTTGGAGAGAAGGAATTAGCAACAGACTGGAGGTCCAGGCTGATGGGTCAGATGTCTTCACACCCATTTGGGCAAAGCCTCCAGTGCTGGCTCTGATCCATCAGAAGATGCTTTCTCCCAGAAGCCCTGTGTAGTTAGGGGATCTATCCCCCTCCTTCCATAACAGTCAGCCTGGAGTTTTCAGGGAGGGGGACACTGGATTGGGGGGCAGTTGCACAGGCATCAGTACCTGAACATTCATGGCATTCCTAAACTCCTGGACCTTCTGTTTCCTGTAAAAGTACAAGAATCATGGCATGGAACAATGAAAGAGGGAGGGGAGTCATTTAGGCCCCACTGTCCCCCAAGGCTGCACCTTCAAATTAAATCGAGCTTGTGATCCTTCTGGTTTCCTGCTCTGGGTTCTAGAACTTTCCCTCCTGCACATGGATCCTCGGTGAAACTGACTAGGTCTTTATTCAATGTGAACCTGTCCATGCATGTGGTCCTCCGATGGTAGCTCCTGAGGAAATGGGGGAGCAACTGGGTGTCTTCAGGCTCTTCATTGATCAGAGCAGTCTGGGGTCCAGTGGGACCTTAATGGCAGGATCCACTCTATGGGGATTGTCCACATTGACGCTGCCTGCATGCCAGCTTCCTCCCTCTGGACGTGGCTCTGTTTGAACTGAAGTTTGCCACCAGGAGAGACATTGGCTGCCACTGTTACCCGACTCAATGGTTGTTCCCTAAAGGGTGTCCTCAATAGCGGTGGGGACAGGTTGAGAGAGAGGTTGAACACCTGGTGTCAGGAGAACAGGCTGTGGGGACCAACCTTCCTTTACTCGACTCTAGCTCTGCCACTTCCTAGTGATGGCATCCAGGCTCTAAGGGGGAAATGTCCCCCTTAGGGTAAAGGAGAGACTTAAATGAGAGGATGCAGTAAAGGAAGTTATCTAACCCTATAAAATGGGTTTAATTGGCCCAGCCAGTGTGGCTCAGTGATTGAGTATTGATCTATGAATCAGGAGGTCTGGTTAGATTCCTAGTCAGAGCAGATGTCTTGGTTACGGGCTCAATGCCCAGGAGGGGGTGTGCAGGAGGCAGCCAATCAATGATTCTCTCTCACCATTGATGTTTCTATCTCTCTCTTTCTTCTCTGAAATCAATAAAAATATATTTTTTTAAAAAGGTATAATTGGTATAATGTGTCAGTCCTGATGAGGTTGTTGTAAGGATTAAGGAAGTTTGTTCATTATCAATAAAGAATGGCTTTTGTTATAATCATATTAATAATACTAGTATGAATAAAAATAAAGAACCACCATGGCCAATATATAATAGATTCTCAATAGATTGTGGCTATTGATGTTAACTGATATTTAAAGAGACTGCCTGAAGGTCCCTTAAATCACATAAACACAGAACAATTGCTGTTTACTTGTTGTCCAGGGTAAGAACCCAAAGGACTGGGCCAGATGTATTAACTGTTTACGTAGTTGCATCATGAATCTGCTGAGAACTTCCTGCCATTTTAAATACTCCAGCTGATTCAAGCTGTTGATTTCTCCAAGTGGGGGGTAAAGGAGAGATGAAGCTAACTCTACCCTTCATATCATCATTGGGGGAGTCAAATCTTCAAATGGGTTAAGTCAGGCTGTTCCTATTTTTCTGTCCTATTATTCTATATATTACTGATACATGTATTTTGAGGATAAAACTACCCCACTCCCTGCCCCCACACTCTCATTGCCTCGTCTATAACTGGCATATTTTAGAATGTTCCTGGGAAGGACCCAATACCAAACCTGGATTTCCCTCTCCAGCTTTTCCTCCTGTACCCTTTCAGCAGACACGCAGATTCCACCAACCATAAATGCCATTCTAAATAATGTTCACATTCCTCCTCTGTGAAACAAGCCCGATTGCTTCAGGCCTAAGTTTTCCTTGCTCGTGGCCGTAATAGTTGTGGTTGAAATTTCCATTGTAAACTGTACTTTTAGTTTGTGGTGCCCTTAAAGAACTGTTAGCTCATTCTGTTGAAATAACCACTGGTGGAGAGGGCGGTTTTATGAAAAGACTATCTGCTCAGCCCAAAGCAAACTCTACGCTTGGTAACTTGTCAATTATTTGAAAACCAAGCTGGTGGATTCGGATTCCCATGAGAATTTTAAAAATATGAAAACATTCCGTCTCCTTGTGGGGAATCGCCTCTGTAGCATCTGCAGTCTCCTACACTTTGCAAGCTCTATCTTTTCTATCACTAAACATGCCAGCCTCTCTCTCTTACAAAAAAAATGAAATCCTTTTTTTGCCCATTCTGTCTCCTATCTTTTGTTGTTGTTAATCCTCCCCCGAGGATATTTTTCCCATTGATTCTTTGGAGAGAGTGTAACAGAGGGAGGGGGAGAGAGAGAGAAACATTGATGTGAGGCACATCCATTGGTTGTCTCCTGCACAGGCCCTGACCGAGACTGTGTATCAGCCTGCAACTCAGGTGCCTGCCCTTGATGGAGATCAAACTGAAGACCTTTCAGTGCACGGGCCGACACTCTAACCACTTAACACACAAGCCAGGGCCCGTTTCCTGTCTTCATTCCATTCTTCTCCATTTGTTAGCAAACTCTTCAAACACACGAGAGATACCTGCTCTCTCCATTTCTACCCAAACATTCCCTGGAAAGCTTCTAAAACTGTGTTCCTAAAGGGCAGTATTGTGAAAGTAGCTATGTATTATCCCTTTGCTTGATGGCAAATACCAGACCAGGCACTTGGATTTTGTGATCCTAATTCTTACATCTGCTCAGCAGAGGAGCATCATCCCTTATTTAAAAGAGAGAGAGAGAGAGAGAGAGAGAGAGAGAGAGAGAGAGAGAGCTAGAGAGAGAGAGAGGAAGCTGGCCAAAACTGGTTTGGCTCAGTGGATAGAGCATAGGTCTGCGGACTGAAAGGTCCCTGGTTTGATTCCGGTCAAGGGCATGTACATTGGTTGCAAGCACATCCCCAGTAGGGGGTGTGCAGGAGGCAGCTGGTCGATGTTTCTCTCTCAACGATGTTTCTAGCTCTCTATCTTCTCCCTTCCTCTCTGTAAAACATCAATAAAATATATATTTTAAAAATCTATTTGAGAGAGAAAGAGGGAGAGAGAGAGAGAGAGAGAGAAAGCTGCCCTAGCCACTTTGGCTCAGTGGATAGAGCGATGGCTTTCAGACTGAAGGGTTCCGGGTTTGATTCCGGTCAAGGGCACATTCGCAGGTTGTGGGCTTCATCTCCAGTAGCGATCATGCAGGCGGCAGCCTATGAATGGTTCTCTCTCAGGTGGCCTCTGGCTTGGACCATGGGGAGATGGGCAGGGCACCAGCAGCTTTTGTACAGGGGCTAACACTGTTCAATGGGAACATGCTCAGATCCCAGCTCTGCCCTTCACATAGAGTCCTGGGAAGTTATCTAGTCTCCCTGAGCCTCAGCTGCCCCACTTATAAAACGGGAACATAACACCCACCTCAAGGGGAACTTGTGAGGTTTATGGCTATAACTAAAGATACCTATCATTATTACCATTATTTATAATTGCAAAGAGAAAAAGAGAAGTGGTTTGTTTTTCTTTTAAAAAGTTTCTTTCAATTACAGTTTACAGCCAAGTCTATTTTGTATTAGTTTCAGGTGTACAACATAGTGGTTAGACTAGGGGTGTCGAACTCAATCAGAGAAGGGGCCAAAATCTAAAATCCAGCCTAAATCGCGGGCCGAATGGTTTACTGAACAGTCATAAACTGTCATTGTGATGGAAATGCAGCGGAGTGCAGTGATGACAGCGCGGTGCGGGCCACATTGCAAGGCCTGGCGGGACGGATTTGGCCCCTCGGGCCTTGTGTTTGACACATGTGGGTTAGACAATCAGATACTTTACAGAGTGACCCCCTTGGTATTCCCAGTACCCACCTGGCACAAGGCATAGTTATTACAATATCATTAACTATCAGAATGCCTTTAAATTATTTAGATGTCCTAACCCTCCCTGACCACATTAATGAAATAGGAATATCAGCATGTACATATTATTGTCTGTTTCCTGTGCTGTTACTCTGCATCTCCATGTCTCTAGAGGGGGGGAAATTGCTCATTTAATCCATTGATTTAATAGATGGAGGCAGAAGAAGCTGCTGCTAAAACGTCGTCAGAAGTGAACCTGGCAAACTTACCTCCCAGCTACCATAATGAGACCAACACGGAAACCAAAGTTGGCAATACCACCATCCATGTGCACAGAGAAATTCACAAGGTATGGGCAGTCCTGGCCAGAGCCTTCTCCTTTCTCTAGCGCCCACTCCCATCCGAGCACTAAGGTTTTCTTTACATATTTGATACATAAGCCAAAAATACAAATTATTTTTGCTTATTAAATATTTAGTACTTAATTTTCTTTTCATTCCTTGTCTCTTATTCATTTTTTTGGAACTCAAACATGGACTTTTTTTTACTTCGCAATAGTTTCACACATATATCATCTTTTCCCCTAATATATATTCTATATATATATATATATATATATATATATATATATATATATATATATATATATAAAAGCCTAAGCAACTGATTGACTGAACAACCAGTCAACCAGTCACTATGATGTGCATTGACCATCAGGGGGCAGACACTCAATGCAGGAGTTGCCCCCTGGTGGCCAGTGCACTCCCAACAGCCAACCTCCTGCAGCTGACCAACCCCCACAGCCTCTTTCTTCGCCAGCCAACCTCCTGTGGCCCATATGGGCCCCGACCACTGGCCAGGCCGAGGGACCCCACCTGTGCACGAATTTGTGCACCAGGCCTCTAGTTTACTATAATCCTCTGTAGGGCAAGGTATATACTACTAGTTTTAAATTCTTAGGTAGTGCATCAGGACTACCTGGGAGCCTGTCACAACCCCAGCCCAATCCTCAGAGGTTTGATATCACTGATACTGGGTAGTTTTTAGAGCTCTTCAGAGCTTTGATCTCAGTCTCACACATGGCTGCACATGGTGATTCCTAAAACACATTTGTAAAACACATGGGAGCTTTACGAATTAGTGATGCATAAGGCCCATCTCCAGAGATTCCAATTCATTTGATCTGAGTGTTGCCTGCGTTGATCTGAGTGTGGGATTTATTGATTTACCACCACCATCTTGATCTGAGAGCCACCCCACTGATCCTGGGTGCCTTTCTTTGATCTGAGTGTGTTCTTCATTGATTATATATATATATATCACTTAAACTTAGCTCAATGAAGATTTTAGAGAGGAAGGGAGAGGGAGAGAGAGATAGAAACATCAATAATGGGAGAGAATCATTGATTGGCTGCCTCTGACACAGCCCACACCGGGCATCAAACCTGCAACCCAGCATGTGCTCTGACCAGGAATCGAACCATGACCTCCTGGTTCATAGGTAAATGCTCAACCACTGAGCCATACCAGCTGGGCTTAAGTACTTCTCGATAAAATAAAGATAGTTCACCTGAATCAGGAGCAGGGCAGCTGTAGCTAAAACCTGCTTGCTTCTCATGAAAGACGTTTGATTAGACACCCAGAACTGTAGCCCTTGAAAAGAAAGTCTACCTTGAGTTTCAAGTGATGAGCCCCAAGAACTATACAAATAGCGAACGCTGAGTATGTGCTGGGTGACAGGCTCTGTGCTGAGTGCTTTCACAGACCACCTCATCCCTCCACACAGCAGCTCTGGGAGGCGGAATCTGAGACACTGATGGTCATTGCTCAGAGGAGAGGCTGCTCATCTGGAGGGAAGGGAAGAGGGAGGGGCAGTTTGTCTGCTTGGCTGGATGCCCCGCTTCAGAAAATAGAAAGAAAAGAAGTTGTGGAATTTGCCCAGAGTTCCTTCTATTTCACACTCACTGTGCCTGTTCTATTGTAGATCACCACCAACCAGACGGTACAAACGGTCTTTTCAGAGACAGTGATCACGTCTGTGGGAGAGGATGGAGGCAGAAGGAACCACGTGAGTTGTTGTCTCCCCTGCGCTCACACCCCAAGGCACACATATCTTGGTGTACCTGCCAAAGGTGACCGAGGCTTCAGAGCCTGGGCAGAAGGGAGCTGACTTGCAGGCACTTCTCCTGCCTCATCTTGGCCAAGATCAGATCTATGCATTCTGGTAACAGGCTCTACATTCCTGCAACTTTGCATCAGAAATAACAGAGATTAGATTCAGTTGTCATTTGATGGCTCCGTCGCAGCCTTGCAAGGGGAATAAGGGTGCATTGATCAGAGACCTGGGGGATTCATAAGACCTGGGGCATTGAGCATGGAATGCCCTAAAGCCTGTGGCCTGGCCCCTGCCTTGTATAATGTCAGCCCTGACCAGGGAGCTGAGAGCAAGAAAACCTTAGTGGAACCCAGTGGCCTAAAGGGAAAAGGGTGTCCTCCCACTCCAGGCTTCAAGCTCTGACCCAGCGTGATATGCCTACTGCTGAGGTGCCTGTTGTTTAGTCCAACGGCATTTTTAATAGAATTATAGAGTCCTACAGTTGGAAGGGGCATCATTTCACAAAAGGAAGACCCAATGGGAGTCACTGGTCTCCAGACTCCCAGGCCAGCGGTATCTCACCTGCAGTTATCTTCTCAGAGAAGTGGCTAGCTCAAGATGCAGATGCCTGATGTGGCAGGGACATGGCGTCTGCCTGGAGACATGGGCCGCAGTAAAAGTATGCCCCCTTTGTGGAGACCGCAAGGACCAGCCTCTCTGTCCCCAAGAGCCCTGTGCACACTTCTGGACTATGAGATTTCCCCTTTGGTGCATTCCTGGCCTTCCAGAGGGAGGGGGAGGAGGAGGGGAGAAGATCAAGGATTTCCCCTACCTCTTTTGGCCTTATCCCCAGGAGAGAACTGGTGTATTCATGATAGTTAGGGAGGTGGTGTTGACATGGTTAGAGTTGATGGGCTCTTTTTTGCTTGATTTTGGCACGGAGTTCAAACACATACTGCAGGCTAGGTGTGGGGGTGGAGGTGGGGAGAGGGGTCCAGTGACCCACCATTCAAGGGACCTGGGGATTGAGGTGGGGGCAAGCTGTGTGGTGAAATGAAAGGAACTCTGGCGGTGAAGCTTAGAAGCATGACTTTGTCACTTACAGGCTGGGTCACCTCGATTTCCCCAGCTTCAAGCGAGGCAGTGATTGTCACCAGCTCTCCCGACTCCGAGAGGACAGAAGTCTTAGAAATAAGACAGGATGCACTGAGGTCAGGAAGGAAGAGAGTACAGTTTTCAAAGTTGGGAAGAGAGAGAGGGAAGCCAAACAAAAAACAAACAGCTGTAGGGTGTGGCGGGAAAAGCTTTAAGATATTCCAGATTTAAGTCTCTGTGGGGGGACCCAGGAGGGAAGGAGGGCCTGTGCAGAAGCCATGGAATGTAAGGGGCAGGGAAACAGAACTCATGGGGCTGTGAATTAGAAAAAAAAAGCATCGTCCTTAAGTTGAAAAAATAATTTTAAAAAAGGCACATGTGATTGCACAATGATAGAGGTTGGCTCCAGGGAGCTCCCCAGACCCCAGAGGGGAGCCGCCCTGGCTATGAGCGCATCCACACCTGCTGGAGGCCCAGGTGCCCTGTGGCCTGCAACTTTCACATCCCTCCCATGCTCTCCCCTGTGCCCCCCAAGGGAGATGACTATGTCACGTTTTGAGCCCTGTGTTGGGGGAACCAAGGCTTTGATCACGGTGAGCAGGTGAGAGAGAAGATCTCAAAGATGGAGAGAGTGCTTGGGTAGAGAGCTTGCACGTGTGTGCTGACCCACTGAGTTTGTGCTAGCTTTCCCAAGTGTGCATGGCTTTGTGCATCCATGTGTCCTTACTTCAGGCTCAGTTGGGGGGCCCAGAATCTCTGCACCTTTGTATGCCGTCTCCTGTGTCACTGAGCGATGCCGACATTTGTGCAGCACCCTCGTGCCATGCGTGAGGGAGCCCCTGTGGTTCGGAGGGCACAGGAGGTTGGCAGGAAGAGATAGATCCCCAAAACCCAGAAGGTAGCAACTCATCAAGTGTTTCTAGAATTGGGCTCAGGCCCTTGGCATATTAACTCACTGACTTTCTCTACGAGAATAAATTCCAATTCGGCCAGAAGGGAGACCGGGGCAGCTGATGCTTGACTGGCCAGTTTCTGGAGAACCCCACGGGTCTTCAGAGAACAGACTGGAGACTTTGCAAGCCGCCTGTGACCAGGATGTCCTGTTCAGACACAGTGACATCTGTATCACAGAGCCTCATTCATTGCCAGAGTGGCTTGCTGAAAGTCAGAGAAGCAAGATCTAGTTCCAGATGCCCCCGGCATTCTCCCACTCAGCTGCTCTCTGGTTCCTGGGTCCCCGTGGTCCTAACACAACCGAGCAGGGGCTCAGCATCAACGTTGCAGAGACACGAAGATCCTGCCTCGAGGAGGAAGCTGTAAACACGAGGCTGCCTTCAAAGGACTGTGGAGGGACAGTGGATATTATCGCCACTGACCCACGCCATCGTTTTATAACTTAATGATTTATACAGTTGGCCCTGAAATGCATTACACACTGAAGAAACTTCCTCTTCGATGGAAAAGGGAGACTTGCCTTTCAAAGGGACAAAAATCATATGCTGTCCCAACCTTCAGTTACTGCAAAGAGGCGCTACATTGCCAGCATTTAAAATTCCCAAATGAATTCAATTAAAAATAATCACTAAGCAAACCCCTATTCCCCCCCCCCCCCCCCCCATCTTTCTTTCTTCAAATGCTGGTGTGTGTGTGAATATGTATGGTAACCCGAGGAGGCCCATGGAAAGTTACAGACAGTCATACTATATGCCTGTCTAGGAAACTCAGCACAGTGTGTGCAGGGTATTGGTCTGTTTTTACATTCAGACGAGAGAGGGGAAAAGGACATGCGGCTTGTTATTTCACCTGAGCGCACTGGCAATGGCGATGTGGCCCGACATGGTTCTGTGGGGCTTTTGTGCCGGGCCCTCGCCTTCATGGGCCAGCGGGCGGCTGACTGATGTGTTGCCACTTTCGTGCAGGGTGAGGTGAGGAGCAGAGCAAGCTGGAGAGCGGACAGGCCATTATGCACCCATGGGGAGCTTTTGTTTATAGCCCCGTGTCCCCAGAGATGAAGAATCCGGTCTAATTAGCCACGGCACCATGTTGAAGGGACGCGTCCTCTCATTAAAACACAGCTCACGGCTACAGAGCTTAGCACACCGCTCACGTGTGTTGTCCTTTCTGTGTTTGCGTTAGAATATGATATAGAGCAGGAGGTGCCCTTGTTTTTCCAGCTGAACATACCTCCTTTGAACCAATGGGTTCCATTCTAGTACAACCAACTCCCAGATCTTGGTCAAGACTTTCAAGGCCCCAGGGAGACAGATTTCACTACCAAAATCATGTAGAGAGTAGCAATTTGAGTGACTCCCCCCCACCCCCTCGGACGTCCTTGTCCCCATCACAGCATGACGGGGGTTACAGTGCCTTTCTGACTCCGCCCGGTGCGCAGTGGACAGTGACAATGGAATTCTCTGCAAGTGTGAACCAAATGTCTTCTCTGCTGCGAGGAAGCGGGCTGTTATTTGTGCTGACGATTGGGAGAAGTGGGAGGGAAACGGTGGCTGAACGTCTCAGGACTTGTTTGCTGGCTTCCCATGAACAGTCGTAGCCGCATCCTGTCCCCTCAGAGTCCAGGGACACCCAACAGGAGTGTGGGAGCAGCAAGGGTGTCGAAGGACAGCCTCCTCTGCGAGACCTCAGGTTCTTCCATGCTCCCAGCCACCCCCAGCCAGGTGAGGTGCCGGCTTTGTTTGTTTCTTTGCCCTGATTTCTAAAGCTGGAGTTGTTGTTATCAACTTAATGGTGTGGCAGAGGGAGGGCGCCGTGATGATAAGTCATTGTGGCTTTAATAGAAATGCTATCGGGGAAGCCTGGGCCTATTAGAGAAACTCCGTCAAACCCTGCCCCGACCCTTGCAAGCTCTGTCCATTATGAGTCTGCTTCTTCATTTATGAAACGGGGGCTAATCATTCCCGGTTCCCAAAATTGAGTGAGAATGTAGTTAGGCAACGTTTATAAAAGCTCTTTGTGTAGGGCTCATTAGTGTTGAAAAGTATTTAAAACTAGGTTCTAATTGGTTTCTCCCCTGGTTCCCAGCAACCTATGCCAAAAGAATGGATGGGCATAGCAGCTGAGGGTATGGTTAAGGTCTCACAGGCTCCCTCCACTGATGTTCGAAGCCTTGGGCTAGGCTCTCCAGAGCCCTGCCTCCCCCTCGGGGTATTGCACTTCTCCTGAAGCTCCGTGTTCCTAGCCACAGGGTTGACTCACCTGCTGTCCTTGTTTGGGTGCTAGGGATACAAACAGAAGAAAGAATGGACCTTATGAGTGACGAGAGAACAGGTGCTGACAAATGCCAGGATGGGCCTCAGGTTGGCAGGGTGTATGCTGGTTTCTACAGAGAACAACAGATTTGTGGTTCTAAGAGTGATGAGAGTGATGGTGTAGTCTTATGTTGAACTAGAGGCCCGGTGCATGAAAATTCATGAACTGGAGTGGGGAGATCTCTCAGCCTGGCCTGCCCCTCTCACAGTCCAGGAGCCCTCAGGGGCGCAAGGCGACTCAGCGATCAGAAGAAGGCAATGTGCCCATCACACATGTGCTGCTGCCAGTGCCAGCAGCGCAAGCCTCAGCCGGCCCTGATTACCTGAGCCTTGGGCAGCCCTAGGCGGCTAGGCAGCTGATATCTGAGGCTTGCCTGTGCCTTGGGCCAGCCCTGGGCAGCTGGGGGACTGAGGGCGGGGTCCAGCCACACCATGCACCTGCTGCATGCCCCCTGCCCCGCCCCTGCTGGGCTGAAAGGACTGTGGTACTCTGGCAACAGGTGCAAGGAGCGGCTGGACCTGCCTGAGGGCGGGTTTGACCACACAATGTGGCTGCCCCCCCACCCACCTAGCCCAAGTGGGGCTGAAAGGACTGGGGAACTCCAGCAAGGC